GTTTAAATATGAATGGAGTCGGCGCGTTTAGATCGGTTTGATTACAGGCTTATACAGATGACTTTCAAGATTCTACCAATGCAGTTCTACTCATAGTTAAAATTAAAATAAACCCATGTTTAAAATTTGCTTTCTTTGATATTTATCCGAAAATATGAAAGCTATCTTAGTATATAACAAACTACTTTATAAATCTCATTATAAGTAAAAAAGGCTGCATTAACGGTATCACGAAATATTCTACTAATTATGGATATAAATCTCATTGTGTATTTAATTTTCAATATTTTATATCGGAATTAATACAAAAATAAATTGGTGAAATATTGCTATGCCGATAGACACACAACATATTCAACGAAAGACCTTCTCCTAATCAAAGTCCTACTACTCAAAGTTTTGTGTATACAGTTTTCTTAGTGATTTTGCTAAAATTGACAATTATGATAAAACATGCAGACAATGACCACAGGTCTATACCGGTCTGACAATTTTTGATGCTGCAACAGTAAGTATGTACACATATTCAATATAATTGTGCTTAATTTGACCAGTTATGTACTTATTATCAGTTTATTTATCAGTAATTAGATGCCGCTATTATTAGATTAAAATGATGACAACCAAAACTTTACCCTCTAGTACTCAGATTCAAGTTGAGGTGCGACTGGAGTGGCTCTATCGCAAAACAAAGACGCTAACATTTATATAATACATACATTGGCATAAATTCTGTTTTTATCAAAGCATTTAAAAAATCTAGCGGTGTGTAATGAAATTATTTAACGATTTAACAATAACATCTAGAAAATGCAGCAAGCAATGTCCGGTTTAGTTGTTAATATCGCCAAACAATCTCTACTCATTGATTTGGTCAAGCTATCATCATCATCATCATCATTACAGCCTTTCACAAGTCCACTGCTGAACATAGGCCTCCCCCAAGTAATGCCACAAAGCACGGTCCTGAGCCATCTGCATCCATCGATTTTCTGCATGTCTTACCAGGTCGTCACTCCATCTAGTGGGGGGTCACCCTACACTACGCCTACCGGTACGAGGCTGCCACTCGAGAACCTTTCTTCCCCATTGGTTATCGGTTCTTCGAGCTATATGGCCGGCCCATTGCCACTTCAGCTTACTAATCCGTTGGGCTATGTCGGTTACTCTGGTTTTACTGCGGATATCCTCATTTCTGAGTCTATCAGGCAGAGAAACTCCGAGCATAGCCCTCTCCATAGCTCGCTGAGCGACCTTGAGCGTCCTCATACAGCCAGCAGTGAAGGACCACGTCTCAGATCCGTAAGTCATCACTGGCAACACGCACTGGTTGTACAATCTAGTTTTTAGAGATTGAGGTATACCTGACGAGAAGATATGCCTGTCGTAATTTCCCGAACGCTGCCCAGCCGAGTTGAATCCGTCGATTGACTTCTCGGTCGAAGTTGGACTTACCTAGTTGGACTATTTGTCCCAGGTAAAGGTACTCGTCAACAACTTCGAGCATAGTGCTCCCAACAAATACCGGCATAGGTGTGACATGGACATTAAACATAATCATTGTTTTGTCCATGTTCATCTTAAGACCTATCCGTTGGGAGGCACTATTGAGGTCATTGAGCATAGTGCTCAAGTCCTCCAGCGATTCTGCCATAAGGACTATATCGTCGGCAAATCGAAGGTGAGTGATGTACTCGCCATTGATGTTAATACCGTATCCTTTCCAGTCCAGTAGCTTGTAAACGTCTTCCAATGCAGCGGTGAAGAGTTTCGGGGATATAACGTCACCCTGTCTTACACCTCTCTGCAGTTGGATAGGTTTCGAGCTCTGGTTCTGTACTCGGATAGCCATCGTAGCCCTACTGTACAAACACTTCAGCACTTCGGTATACCGACAGTCAACTTGGCACCGCTGAAGGGACTGTAGCACCGCCCAAATTTCGACGGAATCAAAGGCTTTCTCATAGTCAACATACGCCAGGCAAAGTGGCGGATACTCTTCGGTCACAATCTGTCGCAGGGTATGTATGTGGTCTATGGTTAAACCGGCTTGTTCGGGAGGCTGGAAGTCGTCGAGTCTGCGTGGGAGACGATTCGTAATGACTCTCGAAAACAGCACGTAGACGCGGCTCAGAAGGGAAATCGGTCTGTAGTTCTTCAAGAGAGCGTTGTCGCCTTTCTTAAAGAACAAGACCACCGCACTTCTGCTCCACGCCTCTGGAGTAGTGCCACCATGGAGGACGGAATTGAAGAACTTCTGAAGGACTTCAAGTACCGGTGTTCCACCCGCTTTCAGAAGCTCCGCTGTAATTCCATCCTCGCCTGGGGCCCTGCCAGTCAAGTCAAGATATATCATGATTCAATAAACACTGTTAAGTTTATGAATATTTATTTTTTTTTTTATTATAAATTCTTAGATCTGACCAATACATATATAAAACTCTTTATATTTAAACTATAAGGATAATAAGGGTTTTGTACATACTAATTGCAATTTTTATCAGTTTATTTATAGATAAAAAATACCGACTAAAACTTTTTATAGATTGGAAATTAAACTTAGAAACATCCTTAATTTTGTTTACGATTTTCGATAGATGTCACTACTATCCACTTAAGTAGTAATTAGTTACTATAAAATTTATTTATATCTACTAAAATGAAATAACAAGAACTAAAAAATGTACATTAGAATTTTCAAATCAATTATAAATTTAATTAAATAACTTTATAATGACAAATGAGGCAAAATGTCATTACTTTTTGTATTTTACGTTAGATAGCACTGTCTTGAAAAAGTGAATACAACAATAATATCGTAGATTGTCGGAAATTAATTTTGGGCTTTATTCATAAATATTTTGTTTATTTTAATATAACACATCGATCGTATAAAATAGAAATTAACACCCAAAGGAAAGAAAATACTTAACCCTCCTTTTTTAAAGTTGCTATTTACAAACAAACTACCTATACACAAAATTTCATGGAAATCTGTATTCGGTAGTTTTTGCGTGAATCTTTTATACACAGACAGACAGACAAAAATTCTAAAAACCTCTAATTTGGCTTCAGTGCCCTTTATTTAGTCCCTTGAACTTGTTTTTTCCAGAAAATATTAGAATAATAAACACGACTTCTCTACATATTTATTATATGTATAGATAGTAATAGGTATACGTACCGATGAAATTGCTGTTCTGCAACATTGGCCCATTTCAAATCAAAATAATTTTTGTTTGGTCAAGAATTCTAATTTCAAATTAACATTAATTTTCGAAACATTGAATTCTGTATTCAAAATTAGTCATTTGTTTATTGATTAGTGTTATGTTTTCACTGCATTTGAACTTTTTCGCCATCATGGATACGTTAAAAATTCGAGTAATTATGGAACATGAGTCATGGCAGCAACGCGGCACAAGTGGCACGCAGCATCAACGACGTTGACGGAGCAAATATTACAAACTAACTCACCACCTGTTATTAGTTTGTCCACATCCGTTCTAGAAATTTTGACCCGAAAAATGAACCCCGTGGTCGTCCGAAAACTTTGGACGCAAATGACGAATTAAAGGCGGTTGTGAAAACTGATGATAATCAATCTACGGCTGAAGTAGAGCAGCTTGTGACAATAGCATCAAAACAATATTTGCGTCAAATTGGCTAGGTAAAAAAGGTTGACATATGGGTGCCCCACAAACTCAATGATCACCAGTGCGAAATGCGCGTCAAGACGTGCCTTGCACTACTTAACAGGCACACAAACGAAGGAATTGTGAATCGCATTGTTACCTGCGTTGAAAAATAGATTCTGTTTGACAATTGCAAGCACTTAGCAAGTTGATTGGATCCTGGTCCAGCACCTAAACGAAAACTTACCGCTAGAAAAGTGATGGTCACTGTTTGGTGTTTTAGCGCCGGTGTTATTAACCACTTAAACGTGATGGCTGCATATACTGTGAAGAAATGAACACAATTATGGAGAAGCTCGCACGACTCCAACCAGCTTTGATCAATCGCTCATCCACGCTTCTTCGGCACGACAACGCGCGACCACATACTGCACAACAGACCGTCTCCAAGTTACAAGAGTTGGGGTTTGAGACTCTCCGTCATCCGCCACACTCACCAGCCATTGCACCTACAGACTTCTACTTTTTCCAGAATTTGGATAACATTTTAGCAGGAAAAATTAAACAGCCGAGAGGTAATGCAAAAAGCCTTGTAAGGATTAGTTGCCTCTCGTTCAGCTGATTTCTTCAAGAAGGGCATCAATAAACTGCTACTGCGTTGGCAAAGATGCATCGATTGCATGGGTGATTATATTTTTTTCTTTGATTCATAGAAATAAAAAAAATATAGAAAAAAATTACGTTAACTTATTCCATTTCAAAAGTAAAATTTCAAAGGTAAACCTGATATTAAGGTATGTGGGCTATAAAATAGAAATAAATATAAAGTTTGATGACAGCATCACTACCCCATTATTGTCACTATCACAGCTGTTGCGGCACGTTCATTCAAAAACGTTCAAACATTGAACTTCGTTTACTTTGATATGCACAAAACTTGCAAAAATGGCAAACTACAAATGCCGTACAACTACGTGCCACGTCACACTAGATGGCAAACTACAAATGTGTACTCATACTATGCGCATATGCGTACACTTCATAAGGATGATAATGCCCATGACACACTAAGCGACTTTGTAGCTATTTGCGTATTTCAAGCAATTTGAAACTACTTGTAAGTCTGACGCTGGCATAAGATAAACCCACTTTTAAAATCTGAATGTCAATTCTTTGTCTAAATACGAAGTGTAAACCACATTAAAGTAACAAAGCGGACCTGCCGATTCTCGCTAAATAATAAAAATGTGAACTTTATTCGACGACGATTTGCTTAAAAGATCACCTTTTAATGTTATTAATAATAATTTTAACATTAAAAGTAACAGTAATCAAGTTATTTTTCTTTGAAAACATGATGTGTAGGCAAAGGCGACGTGTTCGGGGACTCGTTCTGGAAGGACACGGCAGTGGGGCAGTCGGCGGCCAACGTGCGCGCGCTCACGTACTGCGACCTGCACACCATCAAGCGCGACCGCCTGCTCGAGGTGCTCGACTTCTACCAGGCCTTCGCCAACAGCTTCGCGAGGAACCTCACCCTCACGTACAATTTACGACATCGCCTCATATTTCGTAAGGTGAGTGTACTTATTTAGTTATTTCAAAAGTTAAATTCAACTGTTTTTCTGCACTATCAATATTATGATACTGGGTGGAGTACTACTCTCCCCTATTTATCCGGATTTTTTTTAAATTTGGAATAGGGCAACAAAACCCAAGGAGCCAGCAGCAGGTTAACTTTATCAAGAAAGAAGGACTCTTTATGTTAAACTCTTTCTTCCAAAAGCGGCTCCACAGAAAATGGACCTGGTCTAGCCCCGAAGGTTCGACAAAAAATAAGATTGACTTTGAATAAAACTATTATTTACGGATTTTATCGCGTTTAATTACAACTTTATTTCTTTTATTATCCCGTCGCTTCGGGTGCTTTACAGCACCCTTCCCACGGAACGATCTTGAACATGTTCGCAGACTGCAGACTTTTGCGAACATGTTCAAGATCGTCCCCACCATTACATTAGATTTGATAAACCACAAATTCTCGCAAAAGAACACCGATACCTACCAAGGATGATACGCGATGCTATTGAAATTAAAAAACATCTAAATTTCAATGGAAAAGATGAATGAGTGCTGCCACCTGCATGGGATCCTTTAATTAACAAAATTAAACACAAACCCAAGCACACCACTGCAAGACTTCATGATACTATAAGCTCGTTTTGCGTAAATCGGAACAAAAATTAATATTCAAAAACTGAAGGTAGCCGGTAACTAACTATGACATTGGGGCGTCAAACATCTCAATCTCCCCCCCCCCCCCGTGACCATGGGTGCTGTAAAGCACCCAAAACGTCGAGATAGTAAAAATAAATTAAAATTGTAATGTAAAAAAATGTAGTGTTCGCGTAAATTTAGGAAATCATTATAAGATTGACTTCACTATGACGAACAGACGACAACTGTTCAGTGATCTTAAGGGTGAAAACCTGCAGCGATCACCGAATGGTGAGAGGCACACTTAACCTAAACGTGACGTTGAAGAGGTCACGTTTAACGAAGTCAACGTTCCGTCCTCCTCGTGCTCTAATCTTACTTACTTAAAAATATCAGCGTAGAATATTGCAAGGAAGTGGAGTTCTGGAAACTGTTTATGCGCTCGGAGCTAAGTTCTGTAAGACCCATTGCAGTAGAACACAAAAACTCTCTGATTACACTCTTAATCGCATGGCTGTTAAACGGGAAATGAAGCTGCAGTCGTCAGCATGTATGACAGCATACAGGCAACTGAATAGACAGATCTCCAAATGCTTGCGGCGGGACTTACGCAACTTCAACATATTGAAGAAGCGTTCGAGTGGAATGAGGACTCCAAAGTTTTTTCCAGAGATCTATCTGCCAGAAAGAGCCAACTGTCAAAGCTGAAGACCAGATGTGGCAGCATCGTTTCCGGGACAACTGAGATTCTGAATGAGATTGAGAGGTTCTACGTTCAGCTGTACACGTCATCGTTCGAGCCCCACGCAAGTGTGTGACGATGCAAAGGAAAGTCTTATCCGACACTATTCCGATAATATCCCGGACATTAGTCTGAGCGAGATTATAATAGCTCTCCAGCACCTTAAGTATGGCAGGTCCCCGGGTGAGGATGGAATTACAGCGGAGCTTCTGAAAGCAGGTGGAAAACCGATACTTAAAGTCCTTTAGAAGCTCTTCAATTATATCCTCTATGGTGGCACTACTCCAGAGGCGTGGAGCAGAAGTGCGGTGATCTCGTTCTTCAAGAAAGGTGACAACGCTCTCTCGAAGAACTATAGACCGATTTACCTTCTGAGCCGTGTTTGCGTGCTGTTTTTGAGAATCATTAGGAATCGTCTCTCACGCAGCTCGAGACAGCTTGCAGCCTCCCGAACAAGCGGGTTTCCGAAAAGGCTTTAGCACCATAGACCACATACATACCCATCCAAAAGTTGTACAGAAGTCTGAAGAGTACATTCTGCCACTTTGTCTTGCGTATGTGGACTATGAGAAAGCCTTTAATTCCGTCTAAATTTGGGCGGTGCAGCAGTCCCTTCAGCAGTGCCAAGTTGACGGGCGGTACATCGAAGTGCTGAAGTGTTTGTACGGTAAGGCTACGATGATCATCCGTACAGAACCAGAGTGCGAAATCTATACAACTTCAGGGAGGTGTAATACAGGGTTGGAAAGGATACGGTATTAACATCAATGGCTAGTACATCACTCACCTTCGATTTGCCGAGTTGTCTTTTGGAAAATGGGGGATAAGGATATGTTCCGTTCCAACGGATAGGTCTTAAGATGAACATGGACAAAACAAAAGTCATGTGTAATGTCACACCTATGACGATGGTTGTTGGGAGCACTAAGCTCGAAGTTGTTGACGAGTATGGTTACCTGGGACAAGTAGTCCGACTAGGTAAGTCCAACTCCGACCGAAATGTCAATCGACGGATTCGGCTAGGCAGGTGCAGGTTCGGCTCAGAGGTCTTTTTTTCAACAATCATATTTTATAATTGAAACATATGTATGAATACAACAAGAATAGCAAAGAATTAAATTGAATTGAATGGAATTATTAGACTTAAGCCTATGCTTCATTTCCAGTTTGAGAATAGGGCGAGAGAGCCAGATTATAGATACCATAATATGTCAGAAGTTTTGGACTCTTGTTGGGATTGTGGTTGGATTTTTGAAATGTGAGGCACAAAACCAGTAATTAATTTTGTTTCTTTTTTTTACGTTTGATAATTACGTCTGGATCAAATATCAGGACTTTTTATGGTAAACAGGTTATTTGTCAGGACTTTTAAATTTTAGATGTGGTAACTATAGTCTAGATACCACTAGTCGCCTCTCATAGAGTCGTGTTGTCTCGGGCGATAGGTGGCGGACGTGCGTCGCGAGCGCGAGCTGATGGAGCGGCGCAAGCGCGAGCCGCAGCTCGAGCAGGCGCAGGACCACCTCGTGCGCAAGATCTTCTCACGCTTCCGTCGCGAGCGCAGCGTGGCCGCGGCTCCAGGGCCGGCGCCGGCGCGTACTCAGACCACCCCCGCCGCCCCCGCCGCCCCCGCGACTGATGCGGAGCGCGGGGAGGCGGGCTCATCTGTGGCTGCCCCCGCCCCCACTCCTATCCCCGCCCCCGCCGCAACCCCTGCAGCTGGCGAGGGCAAGGCGGCGGTGCGCGGCAAGTGGGGGCGGCTGCTGGCGGGTGGCTCGCTCGATATCGCGGCGGAAGCGCCGCGCGCCGCCTTCACGCGCAGCCTGAGCACGCGCGACCGCCCGCCCTCCACTGAGAGCCTCACCCAGTCTTCCGCGATAAACTCGAATTCACTTACATTAAAGGTAATTATACAAATTTGAGATTTATTTGTAATTGTTACTTTCGACCAGGTGCTGTCGCCGAATTTTGAAAAAAATATTATTACATGAAAACCGTGGTGCTAAAAAAAGTGCCTGATCTCTCGACCGGTCTTTGGACACTAGTCACTTAACTCTGAAGTACTACTTCTCTCTGAAGGAATTTTGCTAGAATTACTAAAAAAACCATTATAGTCCCAACACATAAAACTATTTTTGTTTTGCAGAAGAGGGCCAGTGCTAGAGCTATTTACAACCTCCAACCGAGAGAGTCTCTTAGAGAAAAATTTAAAGAAATAAATATATTAATTTTGTCCTTATCTATGAAAATTTGATATATGTTCACAAAAACAAAGGTAGTTTTAGTAAAAAAGTGACACACTCACAAACACTAGGAAGACCAAAAAGATGTTTCCAATTATCGACTCATCTTAATACGCAATTTGAATCCCGACCAAAACTATCCACTACTTATGCAGTAGAGGAAATTAGCGACTACGTCTGTGAAGAATTAGATAAAAGCAACCAATCAATAAGTATTTTCCTTGACCTATCAGAATTTTCATACAATTTCTATTTACATACTATTCACTGAACTAGGGAACATTCGAGATAAACTTTAACTTTTTGTGACTATTTAGAAAATCAAAGTCAGTATTTAAAATCTATAAGGTTTCAATTAGTTGCGAACTACTCTAGAACATCTATTTTCATTTTATATTCAATAATTGATAAGGTTTGATTAGCTCTGAATAACAAAATATTTGTTTTGGGGTGCCCCAAGACAATGTATTAGGGCCAACCCTGTCTTTTATTCATATCAAAACAATAGACAATGTTTATTTATATTCATAGCAAGGTTTTGATAGAGTAAATAAGTGGCTTCAACAAAATACAATGACATTGAACGCGGATAAACGAAAATATATTCATGAATGTTACTATTCTCAGTCAAAATATATAGATGACTCTTTATATTGACTCCAGAAATTCATCAATGTTGCTAATTTGCAAAAAATTTAATACAATTACCCAGTTATTTTAAATACTTAAATAATATATAATTATAGATTAAAACCTAAAATACATAGTTAAAAAAACATAAAAACTCACGCCTGTAACCCAGAGGGGTAGACAGAGACTACAGACTACCATTTGACATGGTGCTGACAAAACTCTCTCGCCTCCTCCACATTCATATACCTACGCATACATGCTCGTCGGTTAAGGGTACTCCTAATTTGGTCCAAATTCAATATATCGCCAATTTGGTCGATAAACTGTCGCCTAGGACGTCCCTTTCCGACTCTTACATTCACTTCTGCAACATATATTTGCTTTGTCACTCTTTCCTCATTCATTCTTTCTACATGACCAAACCACCGAAGCATTCCTTTCTTAATCCTGGTCACAGCATCATCATGCAAACCACACTCTTCTTTTATCTCAAACTGTTGCTCAGATTAAGCCCTAACATACTGTTACGAGCTTGAGGTTCGTGACAATAAAAATTGCCATTAAAATTACCTAAATTAACACTTTAATTTACTTTACACAAATTAAAGTTAAAAACACTAATAATTAAACACACTTATTCACTTTATTCCGCTCCGAAGCTTCGCTTGTTTCGCCAAATCAACACTACTACCATCGCATCTTGCAGCGCCTATATATTTAAATTAGCAAAGAAATATCCAGAATGTTCAAGTAAACACGCGCAAGGTACCGAGCGTTCGAGTTTCGACTAGGCGCTGTCGGTTGAGTGATTTGTGATGTCATTTTCTCAATGCTCCCCCTCGCTCTCGTTCCTGACACTAGATGGCGCTAGTTGACTTATTCATGCAACACTGCCCCCTCCTAAGACATGCTCGTCCCGAGCATTATCGGTCCCATAATAACGCGCCAAGCGATCCACATGGACGATCTTAGGAGTCCCTCTTGCGCCTTTCTGTATCCGGTAGGTCACATCGTTGATCCTGGTTACAATCCGGTACGGGCCGTCCCATTTAGCTTGAAGCTTAGAAAAAAGCTTAAAAAAGGGAAATCTTTGCTGCGGACTGAATTGTGCAACCACACAAGTGAACCTTCGTCGAACCCTTTGTTGTTCATTTTGCGGTCATACCGGGTTTTCATCTTTTCAGACATTTGCTGGCCCGATTGTCTGACGTGCTCATAAACGTCATTCATTTTTTTCCGCAAGTCATTTGCATAATCGGTTATACTGCGTGGAGCATCAGGTGGTATCCCGGTGATCAGGTCTGCAGGCAGCCGTAATTCTCTTCCAAAGTTTGCGAAAGCTGGTGTCACTGTTGTACTTTCGTGAACAGAACTTCGATATGACAACAAAAACGGTTATATGTGCTTGTCCCAATCTCGTTGCCGATTGTCTACAACTTTTGCTAGGTACCTCTCCAATGTCTGATTAAATCGTTCCACCATTCCATCAGATTGCGGGTGATAAGAAGTCGTTCTTGTTTTATGAGTACCCATAACTCGGCAAGTTTCCTGGAATATTTGAGACTCAAAATTCCTTCCTTGATCGCTGTGAATCTCTAAAGGTACTCCAAAACGACAGAAGACTTCATGAACTAGTTTATCTGCAACTGTTGAAGCTTCTTGATTTGGAATGGCGAAGACTTCTGGCCACTTAGTGAAGTAATCCATCACAACCATGAAATACTTGTTACCGCTTTCACTCTCCGGAAACGGCCCCGCCACGTGAATGGCTATTCTCTCCCATGGTGCACCAACATTGTACAACTTCAATGCACCTCTACTACGAGTCTGAGGTCCCTTTACAGCCGCACAACTTGTACATTTGCGACACCAGTCCTCGACATCGTTTCGACAGTGGACCCAGTAAAACCGTTCTCGGATCTTCAGTAGAGTTCGTTTAACTCCCAGATGGCCTCCTGAATTATGGTACAGCTGTAGAACATCCGGTACTTTAGCTTTAGGGACAACCATTTGTAAATGACAGCTGTCTCCCCGAACATTTTCCCATTTACGGCACAGAACTCCATCCTGAAGCAGCAAGCTGTCCCACTGGGCCCAATAGCTTTTAGTGGTCGAACTCATCGCTGAGACGTCGCTCCACTTGGGCTTGGGAGCACTGACCTTCATCCATTCTAGGATCGGCTTGATGTCCGGATCTTCCTGCTGTGCACGTTGTAAGCTGTCCTTCCACTCGTTGCTGAGGTGGTCTGCCCTGAGCATCCTCACGGATACCACTTCCTTACTCTCTTGCCTAGTACAATGTTTGCAATCTTCAGGACAAGGTCTTCTTGACAATGCATCTGCGTTGCCATGAGATTTCCCGTTGCGATGTTCGATCTCAAAGTCGTATTCCTGCAATAGTTCAATCCACCTCGCAACTTGTCCTTCTGGATTTTTAAACTGCAATAGCCATTTTAGTGCAGCATGGTCAGTTCGTAAGTGAAATTTTCGCCCCAGAAGATATTTGCTGAAATGCTGAAACGACTTTACCACAGCTAGCAATTCGCGTCTTGTGACACAGTAGTTCCTTTCCGGTTTTGACAACGACTTGCTGAAGTACGCTATCACGACCCCTTGGTCACCATTCCATTGGGACAACACACCGCCAAGTCCTATATCACTCGCGTCTGTGTCAACTATAAATTCTTTGCTTGCATCAGGGTATCCCAAAATAGGTGTTTTGCACAGACGGTCCTTGAGCTCCTGGAATGCGATATTGCAACTTTCATCCCAGCAGAAATGTCGCTTCTCCTCGGTTAGCTTATGCAGAGGTTTGGCTATATCTGCAAAGTTCTTCACAAATCGCCGGTAATAGGAGCACAAACCCAAAAATGCTTTAACCTGCGTCTTGTCTTTTGGAACCGGCCAATCCTTGACAGCGGCGATTTTCTCTGGATCTGTGCGGATACCTTGTTCCGATACTACAAACCCCAAAAAGTTAACTTGCCGTTGGAATAGTGAACATTTCTTCGGGCTCAACTTGAGGTTGGCACTCTGAATCTTCATTAGCACGCGTTCCAGGTTTTGAAGGTGTTCCTCAAACGTACGGCCTACAATGATGATGTCATCCAAGTAGACCAGACAGGCATCGCCAATTAGCCCGGTAAGTACAAGTTCCATCAGCCTTTCAAACGTTGCTGGAGCATTGCACAACCCAAACGGCATTACTTTAAATTGCCACAGACCCTTTCCCGTCGAGAACGCAGTTTTCTCCTTGTCCTTAGGGTCAATTTCAACTTGCCAGTAGCCACTTTTTAGATCCAGCGTGCTAAACCACTTTACTCCTGTAAGCATGTCCAGCGTGTCATCAATTCTTGGCAAGGGATAGCTGTCCTTCTTCGTAACGTCGTTCAGACGGCGGTAGTCAACATAAAACTGCATGCTGCCATCCTTCTTCTTCACCAGCACCGCTGGTGAACACCACGGACTAGAGGAAGGTTCAATAACACCATCCTTCACCATTCCTTCAATCATGGTTTCCACTTCTTTTTCACGTGCTACCGGCAATCTTCTTGGCCGCTGACGGATAGGCAATTCTTCTCCTGTGTTTATTTTGTGTTGAACTAAGCCAGTCTTTCCTATGTCAGAATCGTTTGATGAGAATACATCGGCGTACTTGAGTAACAACTTCTTCGCCTTGACCAATTCGTTCGGGGAGAGAACACTCCGACAGTCTTCCAAAAGTGTGGTCACTCTCGTTTCTGCATCCTTGCTGGGGGTCCCACTCGTTATATATTGGCACCGACGTAACCAATCCACTTCCTCACAAGTACCAATCAGTGTGCCTTTTTCTATAATCTGGTCCCGGTCGCAAAGGTTCAGCACACGTACTCCTGAGATGTCAGTGGTCCTGACCAAGGTTCGAGCTACTTTCCATGAAAGGTCATTGTTTACCCTTTCCACAAGTACACAACGGTGGGCTTGCCCAGCGTTTCGAGGAAGACTAACCGGAACAATCGTTTCCGATCTTGGCGGAAGAACAATCTTCT